CCCAGACCGGTGCAGACCGCACAAGACCAAGTAAGGCTATAATATGGAGACAAGCCTTAAACGAGGCCTGTGGATATGTACAGGTATCGTCCGTTAGGTGTGGAAAAACCACTAAGACTGGAAAAAGACAGACTAACTGACAAACACACACACAAACAAAACAACAGTATATACAGCGAAACCTGTGAAAAAAGACACCTCTGTTTATAAGGGACATTTGGTTCTGTCTCGTACTAACACATTAGTGTACTGTATCTCCAAATAAAGACGGCTCTAAAAGACGTCTATCAACGTCCCCAAGCTTGCTGTCGTAAGGACTGACAGAGTAAAGAAGCAACGATGCAAAGAAGAAGGTCCAGAAAAAGTACAAGAGAGGAATGTGACAGACACAACACTAGAACATTCAACTAGACATGAACCAAAGAACATAGATGAATTCCAGATGAATTATTACCTGCAAATCTTAGTGGTTTGTAAATTTCGTAACAATCTGAGTCTTTAGCTACCAGCAAGAAGTTTTCCACTAATTTGGGTACTTTTTTGTATGAGAGGACGGTAGGTCTGTTTATTTGTACCACAACTACGCATCTGGTTATAACGAGCCCACCTAGTCACTTCTTCCATCCTATTATCACATATTACGTAAGAGTTACTTTTTATACCTCAGCAAGATATTCAAGTGTGCATGCAAGAGCTGTCCTAGGTGTAGTTGATTTGTTTGTTGTGCCTTTGCTTTCCTACCTCGTAATTTTCACATGCGTTCATACACCGCACTTCTTTTTATACGGAATATTTCCTCAGGTATACACAAGCCTCTTAATTTGCTTTCCTTTCTTACTTAAACCACCACTAGCTGAGGGCACCACAACAGTAACAGGACTTCTGAAAACTGATCAGCAATGGCATTATGAAAGGTAGACGCTTATTTTGACCATACGGATGAGACTGCTATATATGTCAGAAACGGGATATGGGCAAAACTGAGAGTGAAGCTGGATTGCACAAATGTTATGCTGGATAACCTGGGTCACCCCTAAGAAATATCTTACTTATATACATACCTAAGTTCCTTGTATGAGAGGACGGGTGGCTTGTTGAGATGTTTCATCTGAATGGCCAGGTTCCGTATGGTGTCCTCCAGCTGAGGGTATGAGGCCGGTACCAGCTGGTCCATTAACAACTGGTAGTCAGGGATACGACCACACCCTATGCCACGCCCGGCAACTGAGAGAGAGGGTGGTCATGTGATGGTCACATGACCACAGAGGCCACACCCATCTGTGTTTTCCTTGACTTGACTGGCGACATCGAAGAGGGCATCGCGTAGCTCATTGATGCCCTGCCCACTTTTACAGCTGACAATCATGCTCCTCACAATCTGGGGAAATCCCTCTCGTTGTCTGTCTGCAGTACCATACAGTCGTGCTGCAGGGGATAAAAGCAGTATCTATAGCAACGGTAGTTCTAATAAAGCCTGGTTCACAACATGACGCTAGATTTCATTTCATTTCGTCACTGATGTTCCTCAACGCGCTACGCTGTTCGCAAATTTATAATACAATGGTAGCTGACGAAACAAAACGAAAGTATAGCGTAATGTTAACCCGGCTTAACTTATCTAGCAGAGTCTGGAGTACAATACATTATAGCTGCTGGAGACAACAGTGTACATATGTACTTCGTTTCGAGTACCATGCACTGGTTATATAACAGTCCAACGATTTTGCAAAATGTGTGTGTGTGTGGTTGTACGTTGCCTCCAATAGGTCATCCAAACCAGACTTTCCAGCACAAAACAACAAAACAGACAACTCATTATGAACGCTATCACGCCATATTCCCTCCTGGTGGGGCGAGGGAAATAATTTTCGCAGCCCTCAATAACAAAAGATGCACATTAGTACACAAACACCTATCACTAAGTATGGTAGTACTTAGTATATAGGGATTGGCATGGTACCTAGCATCGTAGGGTGTATGGGGCTATGATAGGGAGTTTTGTTCACCTTCTTCTTCTTCTTCTTCTTCTTCAGATTGAACTCGCGTAACTCAAAAACGAAATAACATATAGTAATGAAATTTTGTAAGAATGTAGATATCTTTCACCCGTGGAGACTGGTCATACCTATTTCTTTGTAAACAACAACAAATAGCTCCAGGCAATACATTATAATTGGATCACATGTGTTAGTACAACTCACAAATGGTAAGAGCCACGTGAACGAAACTTTGTAGACATAATGTATTCAATCACCAACATCAAAACTACAACAATACATGTTTGTAAACAACAACAAATAGCCTCAGGCACCTTTCTTTAAATTTACTTCTTCACTCCTCAAACTTGCTAACGGCAGCACACATGGGGATGAATGCATATCATTTCCATGACGACAACAGGCCTTTATTCTCTATTATTAATTTTTTTATAGGGGCTTGCCCCCTTCCACAGAGATTATACCAAGTAGTATATAATAATGAGTGGAGACAAGTAAATAAAAAAATCCTGCGAATTTTAAAAAAGTGGCATATAGGGATTGTATAAAAAGAAAGAGAGACAAGATAGGGATGGGATACATGAAGCATGGTTAATGAACAGATTTGAGTACACTGACACCCCCACACAATCCCTATATTGTTGCCTAGGTGAAGTATTTAACATTCACCATTACAATACTCAGAACTTACAATACACTATTGAGTAACCAACACCCTTATAGAGCCCAAGTGGAGTTTAATTAAAGTGAATGTGGCAGTATAAATATCACTAAATATACAACAGGGAGACGGTGAAAGAATGCTTGCTTTTAGTAACCTTTAGCCCCTATAAGAGTAACACACCAGGCAACAATATAGGGATTGTGTTATGCCAGGCCACGTCTGCAAGCGGATTGGTCGGAATGGCAGCATGTTCCTGACGGACGCCTGTCACCTCCCAAACACGGAAGGAGCTGGTCTGAGGAGAGACAGATCTCTGTGAGTGAGTGGTTTGCTCTCTTCTGCACCCCCCAATCATCTTCTTTTCCCCTCTCTCCTCTATTTTTCAACTTCCCCTCTCCCTTCTCTATTTCTCACTCTTTTATTGTAGGGGTTATAGTAGGGGTGGAGTGTCATGAGTAGGTGATTTGACACTGCTGCATGATTGCTGTATGATTGGAAATATAGTGCCCTGCCTAATATTAGGCATAAAATACCCAGTAAAACCATCCAATTTTGCACCCAGTAAAACCATCCACTTTTGGTTTGGCTACTCTCAACTTTATAGCCACACTGTCCTTTCTCTCTTCTCTCTTATGCCCACCTCCCTCCCTCTTAGTTCAGTGGATGTGGTGGCCATGGTACTGGCTCCCCTATTCAGTGAGAGAGGCCACCCAACAGGACTCAGTCTTGCCACCTCTATCTCCTCCCTCCCTCCCCCCTCTCCTCTCCCACCTCCCTCCACCCTTCTTCCTCCCCCACAAGACAATCTCACAGGTTTCATTGAGAATGTGTGTGTGTTTGTGTGATAAGCAAGTGTACAGTTTTGAGGGCATTTGTCATTCACGAGTAACATAATGTGTAGAGTAAGCATGGACTCTGATGTGACTATAGATATTGCTCTCTTACGTAAGATTACCAATTGTGATGTAATCATCTCAGGCCACGTGTACTATTTCGAATGAGTTCGTTACATAATGCACTGCATCTGGATGTATAAAAGAATGATTCAAAAACTCGCTACGCTGTATGTATGTATCTATGAACCTTAAATTTGCACTGTTACAATTTTGACTGTTGTTTATGCTGTTTGCATCCCCTGGTGTGTGTAAGCTGGTGGTGGGAGTGTCAGTGGGCTCTAATTGGGGTGTGGAATTCTTCTCTCACGTGACAGAATCCTGACATGTGCACATGTCGTTACCAAACTCTGCTCCAGTCAGCCATTATGATGTAATCTTTTTCATTGATGATGTCATCTTTCACACACAGGTCCAGTCACAATTTCCATACCTTCTGAGTCCCTGGTTCATTCTGGATCAGTGCTGGAATGGAACAGGGACATGGACCTTGCTGTCATAGGACTCAGAGATGGTATTGTGGGCAGTCAGGTTCCGGAACCAATCTGGGACCAGATCCACCGGTCTCATTCTCAGTCTGTGGCGGAGAGACGACCACAGGACTACCGTGGGGGACCAGTGTGTGCCATTGGCTACGAATGTCCACCATGGCAGTCCAGTGCTCCGCTGGTGACGAGGGGTGTGGTCATGCAGGTTGCCGGTG